TTCGCATATTTTTTGTGCGCCAATTTTATGCGCGAACTTTTTTTGTTGAGGTTATAAATCAAGGGTTATCTTGAAAGTTGGAATTTAATTGGAAAATACGCAGCCGTTGATAGGTTGGCGCGCTTGTTTGCTTAATAAAGGGTATAGTTTATTTTATTCTAATGAAGTACTGTTCATTTTTATTAAAAGGTAGTATGAATCTGACACATAAAAAAAATTTTTTTTTTTAATATTAAAATAAAAATAAAATTTAAAAGTATACGAGTATTTAAATTTAAATTTATAAACTTAAACGTAACATAAGGCCAACTTATTCCAACAGGGTTACCTTAATGGACAGCTTGATACGCCAATTTGTTCTAATACCAACAACACCCATAATATAGATCACAAAGACCCTCATAAATCGCAAACCCATCACGGATTTGTTGAGACGGGTAATGCCAGTTACGGCTATGTCTCCAGGTTCGCCGAAGGTAAAACTGACGAGATGTTTCAACTTTAGTCTTGCAGAGGCTGGACAATGTAGGAAAAAGTGCTTATTGTTTTTACCTCACGCTCCTCCATAAAATTTTCACAACGTGCGTCCGACAAGGTTTTTAGTTTTGCCGCATGCATGCTTGTTGCACAGTGTCTAGAGAGAACCCCTACGATTGCGGCAAGTTAAAATTTGCAAAGAGCAAGTACAATAGTTTAGTGTATTTCCGGCGTTCTGCTCTAGAGCAAAAGTAGTCATACAAGCGCGAGTTGTCGACCAGCAGCGTTAAAAACCCACTGCTCTTCTCCAGAGACTCCTCCCCATCCATATACCCCTCGTCGGTATGTGAGCAGAGAAAAAGCCCCCCAGAGAGCCAAGTTTTTAGAATTGCAGTTGGAGGAGGAGAGAATTTCGTCGTGTCCTTGTTCGAATCCCTTCATATACCTAGTTTCTAAAAGCTTTCTCTCAAGGATAAGCCCTTCAGCTTAAATAGTGCAATGCTAGAAATAAACGGTGATTCCAAGTAATGTTTTTACAGGAACAAAAGATTAAGTTATACAGGAACCGAACATTGAATATTGGGGCATATAGACAGGAACAGATAGTAGTCACTCGGTGCCAGACGAATGTATACGAATCTCCTGACTAAGCTCCCGAAGTTGCTGCCGAGTCACTATCGATGTGTGTGTTCTGGCGCTGTTCTGATGGAACACAATTTCTCTCCTAATGCGCTGTTTCTGGTCAATTGCTTTCTTCAGATGATTAAATTTTTGACAGTCCGATTTAAAAGTTTCATCCTCAAACAATACTGAGTCAACAATTATAAAGTTGTCGTACTGTAATTTAGTACATAATATTATTTTTCTAACGCCTTATAGCGTGGAGTCGCTTTTATATGCTACAACGGGTGATATACCTCTACTTCGCAAGTATTGACGGAATTTCATAATGTAAGGCCATTTTTAGAGATGGTGATCTTTATATCCTATATAAAGCTGCTAGGTGGAGTTGCTGCTCAAGCATTCACATTTAAAGAAGGAATATACTAGTGGAACTATTTTAGCTTAGTCTAATCCGATAGTTCTATAAAAGCTTGAGTTTTCCCATAGGTAAATAAGCAAAGGCACGTTCAGTTGGTACTCGTAATTTCTGCAATGACTGTAGACATTTTAAAACTGTTCCAAGATTCGTTGGAAAGTTAAGTATGAAAGTAATGTCTAACAACACTGTTTTATACTATGTTCCCATATCTTGCTACTTTCATATATATTGCGATAGGGTAAACTGAGAACGATTGTGAGATGTACAATACATGTATGTCCTTAGAAAAGTGGGCCAACGTTAGTCTCCCCCACTTTGTTGTCATATAAAACCTGTTGTTGGCAAAGCTATACTCCCTCTTCAACTATAAAAACTAAGTATTTTGATTTCATTTAGGTGCTTTCAAGTGATAAAATTCTAAAGCATGACTTTCATTTTCTTCCTATTACATTTTTTTGCTTTCAATTTTCAAATTTAAAATGAAAATGACTCACTCCCAACAATGCAAATAAAAGTAATAAAGTTGATTAAATTTACTTGAAATTACTTTGACAAATATACAAAATATTTTTACACATATGCACTTTTCCAACACATACGTACAGACACAAGCATATACCCGAATATGTGATGTTTAACTTGGTTAAGCGTAAAACTTTATTTTGCTGCGTTAAGTGCCATTTTATGAATGTTTTATAAATATTTGTATATGCTATATGTATGTATGTGCGCATTGTAAATTGGAAAGGTTGTGTAAATAATAAACTCAAATTTGTTGCCATGTGCCTTATGCCATTAGTTTAATAAATTATAACTCAATTTGAAGTGAACGTACTTGAAGATATAGGCAACCCTGATGGAATAAGTTGGCCTTATTAATTAACTCAGATTTATTATGTTACGTTTAAGCTTAAATTTATAAATTTAAATACTCGTATACTTTTAAATTTTATTTTTATCTTTAGTTTTTTTTTACTTTTTATTTTTCATTTTAATTTTTATTAATGTTTCATTTTTTTAATTTTAATTAAATTTATATTTAAACTATGTTTAATTTTAATTGTTATTTTACTTGTAGCTTTAATTTTAGTTTTAATTCTAAGTTTAAGTTTAATTTTAATTTTATCATAATTTTAAGGTTAAGTTTAATTATAAGTTTAAGTGTCAGTTTTACCCGCTAGAACATAACGAATTAAATTTTGATTTTAATTTTAATTTTAATTTTATTTATAGTTTTAATTTATGTATAAATTTAAAATTTTTTTTATTTTTAATTTTAATTTTACGTATAATTTTAGTTTTATGTTTAAGTTAAGGTTTAAGTTTAAGTTTAAGTTTACGTTTAAAATTAAGTATATTTACAAAAATTTAAAATTTTAAAATTATAATTTTTTTATTTTAAATTTTAATTTTAAGTATAATTTTAATTTTAAGTTTAAGTTTATTTAATTTAAAATTTATTTAAATTGAAATTAAAATTTAATTTTAGTATGATTTGAATTTTGAGTTTAAGTTAAGATTTCAGTTTAAGTTTAAGTTAAGGTTTAACTTAAATTTAAGTTTAAGTTTAATTTTAATTTTAATTTAATTTTAATTTTAATTTTAATTTTAATTTTAATTTTAATTTTAATTTTAATTTTAATTTTAATTTTAATTTTAATTTTAATTTTAATTTTAATTTTAATTTTAATTTTAATTTTAATTTTAATATTAATATTAATATTAATTTTAATTTTAATTTTAATTTTAATGTTAGATTTAACACTCATTTTTAGTTTGATTTTAATTTAAAATTTAAATTTAAATTGTGATTTTTATTTTGATTTAAATTTTAATTTTGGTTTTAATTTTATTTTAATATTAATTTTAAATTTAAATTTTAATATAAATTTTAATTGTAATTTAATTTTAAGTATAGATTGAATTTTAAGTTTAAGTTAAGATTTCAGTTTAAGTTTAAGTTAAGATTTTAATTTTTTTTAATTTTAATTTAAATATAAATTTTAATATTTTTATTTTTAATTTTAAGTTTAAGTTTAAGTTAAGGTTAAACTCAAACTTAAACTTAAACTCAAATTTAAGTTAAACCTTTAAGTTTTAAGTTTAAGTTTAATATAATTTAAATTTAAATTTATTAAAATTTTAAATTATAATTTTAACCGTAAAAAAAAATTAAAATTTTAATTTAATGGTTTTAATCAGAATTTGAGTTGTAATTTTAATTTTAATTCTATTAATATTTAAATTTAAATATTAGTTTTAATTTTAATTTTAAGTTAATATTTAAGCTTAAAGTTAAGTTTAGGTTTAAGTTTTGAGTTTAAATATAAGTTTAACTCATTTTAGGAGTAACATTTTAAATGTTTCCATCTGAATCGTTGACTTAATAAAATTTCCGCTTTTTCTTACAGGCAAGTAGTGATACACACATACATCTGCGACCATTATAAGCGTATATTTACAGAAAGGTTGTCATTTGTCTGTATGCGTATTTTCATAAGTTGAAGTTCTTTTACAAGTGCGAATTGTTGTAGTAAGTAAACTCATATGTGGAACCAAGAGCAGTTGAAGAGAAAACAGCTTACAATTTAATAACATTTCAATTTACTTATTATTGCTACATATTTAGTATGTATGTACAAACATTTACATATATAAACATGTATGTACACTTTTATGTATTTGCGTAAGTAATCCTTTTTTCTCTAAAAACGATTACTACAGCATAAAAGCACATACGAAATGAGTTCGAGAGCAAGCACTTCAGTAACTTTTGAAATTTGTAAATATTTTCTCTTATTGTTGGTTGTTGCTGTTTGTTGCAGTTACTCAAATATGTGGTACGCCAAACATACATACGTACATTCGAGCATAAATTGAGCGAATATGCATGCATTTACGTAAAAATACGGTTCTGGTATTTACACAGCTGGCAGTGGAACTTTGTGTCGAAAAGTACACAGTTTAAAAAACAGTTTAAAAACTCGTTCCTTCGCCTACAGCTGAGTAGCGGTACTTCATACAACAGTAACTACTTTGGCACAGTTACACCCAAATAAGTATGTATGCTTTCCAAATGCAAATTTAAGGTAGCCGGATATTTTCGTAATGAACTTAGCATGCTTTGCCACATGGTTGCAAATATTTGCCGGAAACTATGCAGCGTCATTTCTGAGCTTTTGAACAAATATTGAAATGCTGCTTTTGAAAAATAAAATGTGAGTTGCGTTCGTGATGCAAGTGTTCGCTCTCGTTGGATAGCTAGGAAAAGTATATGTAATTTTATATTATTGCTCGAATAAGAAATGCTTATTAACGACTTGAAAAACTAAACTGGAAAAGACAATTTTTTTAAAAAAATTTAAGTTTTAAACTCTTGAAAATTTTTCGGTACATGCAATGCTACGTAAGGTTAGTATAGTGGTAAAAGGTGCTGATTATATTCTAAGTAATATATTTAAAATATTGTATCGATTCTCACCTCGAACTTCTGAAACCCCAACTCCAAATCGTAAGCATCCAATTGTTCGCTGTGCCTACGCCGATGACGTACACCGTCACCTGGCGTCGCCGTCGCGAAAGCGCTCTCCGCCGCCGTCGTGTATATGGTCATACCTGTGTTGGTAGCGTTGCCGGCACCATCCACAACAACAACACGTTCGCCATGCTCATCCATAGCCGCGACAGTGGCGCCCACGCAGCCGCCAGCGTTGTTGTCATCGCTGTTCGCCGTGACATATTTATCGCGATCACGTTGTCCGCGCGACTTCTGTAACACTGTTTGTCTGCAACGTGTACCACAAGCGATTGCCGATATTTTACTAGCATAATAGTACATAGCCATGTGTCACGTTTGGTTTAAGGTCCGGACGCGTTGGCCGGACATTTGTGTTTACTGGCGGAATATTGATGGCGTGCGACATGTGCGGGCGTGGTAGTATGTGCTGAAATGTCGGATGCACCGGTGTGTTGTCATCTTCGCAAGGGATAACGGATATTTCCGTTTTACTGGGAAGTTTGCTTTTGTTTAAGATTTATTAAAAGTCACTAACATTTTTTTTTTTGACTTTTTTGACTTTTTCCTTTTAAAATTATAATTTTCATCATTTCACTTTTATCTTTGAAACTATTTTCGCTTGTCATTTTTCTTTCGAAATTTTTACACTAACTCTTCACTGTTACACCATACATGTATTGGTATTGCAGTTGGAAAACCGTTAATCAGTTTTTGTGTGCTTTGCAAATAATTTGTTCTGATCAGCATCTTGTTAATGGATTTTTCAATTTAAACCTTAGCGCGCAATTTTTGTTTGTCGAGATTTGTTGAATTCTTTATCGAATTTTAGTCCATCTGAAAATAGAAAAAAAATTATGTCAGATGTCTTTGTGTTGTTTACAATTATTAATTTTTATATCCCAAATAGGGTATATTAAGTTTGTCACGATGTTTGTAACACCAAAGGAAGCTATCGGATACCTTATAAAGTTTATAGGTTTATAAATGATTAGCCTGACGAGCTGAGCAGATTTAGTCATGCCCGTCTGTATATACGCGAACTAGTCCCTCAGTTTTTGAGATATCGATCTGATTATTTTCTCACCAAGAAGCTACTTATTTGTCGGAACTGATGATATCGGTCAATTATAGCATATAGCTGCCATACAAACTGACCGATCAAACTCAAGTTCTTCTATGGAAACCTTTTTTTTTGACAAGGTATTTTTACAAAATTTGTCATAGATTATAATCCAAAGCATTTCTACAATCTACGAAATTGCTCAGATTGGCGCAGCCTCGCTTAATGGTTTTACTGAAGCCTACTTATCCAAACATAATGAGAAGAAGTCTTTTTAGCATTTCTCCATATGCTGTGTAAATGCGTAAAATCAGTTAATAACCACGCCCACTCACCATATAACGGTTATGTTGAAAATTACTTAAAGTGTGATAACTCACTAAATAAATGCGCCAAAAGAATTTAATTTCACAACCAAGTTGATGCGGAAAAGCTTCATAGGAGCAGCTGTAAAAATTGGATAATGGGCGTGGCGGCGTTTACCTTCACTTGAATTCCGCAGGAACTACCCGACCAAGTTCAACCAAATTTGATATGTAAGACTAACCAGCCTTACCTATCATACGCTGCAATGAGCGAAATCGAACAAGAACCACGTCTACTTCCCATATAACATAACGTTGAATTCCATCTGAATCTTTCACTGCCAATATACAAATCAAACACCAATGATTATATCGGAATAAAGCTTTGCATAAGTAGTGCTCTAAAGGTATTTAATCTTATAGCCAAAAATTGTTGAAATCGGGCTATAACTTTTCATGGACCCAGACACCAAATATGTGGAACCGAGTGCATTTGGCTGATTTATTACCGAACACATAGCTGAATCTGTGGATTCTAGTATTTAAATTCGTGGAAAATATTTATATTATATGATGACAGCATGCCTTTGTGCCAAAAGTGTGAGAATGTCTTCCTTAGCCCCCAATAACTAATATAAATACTTTCAAACTTCGGTTTTACTTTACTAAGAAATGAATGTTATATGAACTTCCTACTTTTAATTAAAATACAATATTTACGAAAATCACAAAAATCCCTTTACCTTGTATGAGTATAAAATATTTTAACTCTTTCTTACTTATTTATTATTTGTTTTTTTCTTTTTATATTATATAATTATTACATTCACTCTCAATGCTTTCAAATCAGTATAATAGTTTCGTGCCTTTCGTGAGGTTAGTTTAAAATAACTGAATATAGGTAAACACCCTAAGACAGCGCCCTTGAAATGATGCTAGATATTCAAAAATATTAGCTCTCTTGACTCTTACAATTTCTGAAAGCAAGGAAAGCTGCAATTTCGAAATTTGGATTATTGCGACATCTGTTAGATACATATTTTTTTAATATACTGTATTATCTATAAGTTTAATATACAATATATGCAAAGGGAGAATATCTACTATTTTCAAATCGTAGAGTTGATTCGCTAACCACAGTCATAATACTTGTTTGAGAATTAGTTAGCGATAGTTTTATGTATTACTTATTTACCTAAAAAGATACTAAGTACTTTTAAAGACACATTTTTTTAGTCTATCTTTAAATATATAAAAATCAACTCACGAAACAGCAAATGGGAAACGGTAATCAACAAGTCAAAACTGTTGCAATCAGTGAAATCCTTTAATCCTTTATGCCATGAATATTTAAAAATAAACTGTAAATAAGAGAGAGCAGCAAGTGCAACAAGCTTTGCGCCAAACATATGCACGCACACAGTTAAGAAGCTATGTAAATGGACTTACATGCAAACACAGGCAGATAAGTGTGTGTGGGCTAAGAAAGGGCTATTAGAAACGCCTGGGCGTCTACTTCGATATGCTAAAGCGTTTGCAAAGTCATAAGCCGAAGCCTATGCAACAAGATATGTATGTATGCATGTCAATATATAAATATTTAACATATAAACTTGTGTTGTAATAAATTTCATATGCACATAAGTAGTGTGGTCAGAAAGCCACAAAGTCAGCGCTTCGACACTTGCCAAAGAAGTGTGAGGAAATGAAGTATGCTCTAGCCCAGGGACGGCGAAACGGCAGTTGGCAAGTCAGTGGCCTCAAGTGAAGCAGTTGTGGAGTCGAAGTGATTTCCATTGCAGCTTTCAAATTAGATTTACGCATATGGAATTTAAAATGAGCATTAGTTTTGATAGGCGAAATATTAAATAGCAGAGCTTAAGTGTTGAAAGGGGAGACACTGACGATTTAGCACAAAAATCCAATTCGGTCAAAAGAGGATTTAGAACAAAATTTAGAGAAACCCAACAGCTTATACGGAGTGTTGTTGAAATTGCTACGTTGTTGTTTTACGGTAAACTTTAAGGAGAACAATGTGCTAGAAATAAGGCGATTAAATTGGAGAGTGGGTGTGCAGTGCAAGATAAAGATAATGCACTATTTTCTCTTCAGCATAAGCTAATCATACTTTAGAAGGGTTCTCATTATATGATTAGGGGGATCAAGACTCAAAAGCTTTCTTGTCACAAGCATAGCTAGCGATGGAGTAAGGGAAAGCATTTAAGCGTGTCTATTTGTATTGAGAGCAACAAAGCTAAGGCAAGAGAAAGAAGAGAATAAATAATGTGGCTGGCAAATTTGTTAGTTATATTTTATTATTTCATTCTCTATAATATTATTAAATTTTTTTAAAAAGTTCTATTAAATATTTTTAAAATACAATAGTTCGACTATACTAACAGGTCACTTGTGTTCTGGATTAATCTATGAAATGTTGAGGCTTCCAATATTCAATAGCTTGTTGCACGATACTTTGCCACAAATTTTCCAACAACGCTCACAAGAGTCCAATTATGTGGCTACAAGAAACCAGCTAAGCAAATAGACATTCTCCATATTGCGAGAGCGTTTTATTCACTGATTTTTGTAATCCGATACTTTAACTTTAACATATTTCCTTACCGACCCATACATACACATAACATATTACTGCGTCTATATATAAGTGTGTGCGTGCGTTTAATATCTTACTTCGATACACATAAATCACTGACATTAAAAGTTCGTGTATTATACACTGGGGAACAATTTCGCGCCTAGAAACGGCCATTAAAGCAACAAGCTCACTTAACTTGCGTGGCATTTCGCGTGTCCGGAAGTAGACGCATGTGTGAAAGTTTACAAAAAGATTCATTTGTGTGTACGTGCTTAGCCAGCCTAGGAGCTCATCAATCGCTAGATAACTTAAATTGACTTGCAGTAAATAAATTAAGTTGAAGAATTACTAGAACTTATGTACTTAAGTAATGTGAACGGCATAAGTTGGCTAACAACGATAAACGTAGAAAAAAAAAATATACATAGATATGTATGTAAATATAAGTGAGAGTGGTTGTAGTGGGCGGTGAACGCAATGGAAAATAGCGTAGTTATTCGAATGCTACTAAAGAGGAGGACTTGTCCAAATTCTGACTTTCCTACGTTGTGATGATGATATATAAGTAAATATAGATCGCTTACGTTCGAAATGTTCCAAAAAAAAAAAAAAAAACAGGGAAGCCAAATTTCCATATCATTGGACAATACTTAGACTACTGTTGCTACAGAACAAATCTATGAACCATATATGTTTGAAATTAGGACTACAATAGTATTAGGAGTGGAACTTCATTTTTTTTTTTAAATATGGTCTAATGATTTCCTCTGACCATAGAGCACACCAAACAGTTACTTTTTAAGGATGTAACGGCGTCCCATCAATAACTTGTGGACTAAAAGTAAGCTTAATCGCTGAAAAACATTTCTTGTATTAAACGGATTCGGTGGTCATGGCGTTTTGGACCCGTTCATCGAACTTGCGATGCGGTTGATAGTCATTCGGCTTGAATCCCTGCACGAGTTGGATTTTATAAGCCACAAAACCAAAATCCTTCCGCAAAATCTTTCGTAAAGTGGATGAGCACAGCTTCAATTGTTGCGCGCGATAGCGGATGGACTCATTCGGGTCTTCTTCGAGACTCTGCTCCACAGCAGTAATAGCGTCTTTAGTGCGCACTATATGGCGTCTATGAGCATGCGCTTTATCTAATAAAAAAACGTGATGTCAAACTGATCCAATGTTGCTTGAATTGCCGACTCTGTTGAGCGATTATGTTTGACTGAATATTGGACGTAGCGAACTGCAACATTGTTTTTGTTAATTAATTTGTACGATTTGCAAACGTTTGTCTGAGTATACCATAAATGAAGTAACACTTGTCAAACAGACCAACTCTAAAAAAAAGTATGTCTCTTTAAGAACCGCACGTCTAAAAACATCCTTTATAACTTTTTAAAATATCAGAATTTATGTTGTGCATTTCTCTTTCTTCTTTTATTTTGAAGTACTTTCCAAAAATTACAATAAAAGTCATTGAATTCGGTTTATGAAAAACTCTTTCTTACATCCACTTTACTCGTGGTTAAAATCTAAACCTCCTGGCTTTGAATATGAACAGAGAAAGAGAGATAGATAAAGTAACATAATCAACTTAATTCCAGCTTATCTGGCTGTGAAATCCACATAAAAAGTACTTTGATTGAAAAGCGTATTTTTAATGCGAAAAATTTGCACACATATTTAGTGCACAGATGCGTATATAAATACCTAGCTGGAACCAGTTATTTATTGTGAAAACAGTTTAGCTTGCAACAAGAGTATCCGAAATCGAACTAGTCTGAATCGAACTAGTCTGAATCGAACTAGTCTGAACAGAACTAGTCTGAATGGGACCACTTTTGCAGCAATTTATTATGATGTTTCAATTATATTGCGCATTAAAATATGACCATAAATT